GCTCAATTTGTATGTATACTTGTAACTCTAAGCGCTGTGAACTACTTTGTGTATGGACTTTTAAAGGGCCCACATTACACTATGTTCTGATCTATGTTATAATGTTTTCTCATCAAAAATGTACCTGAAGTTGCGTTTTGTTTTAGTCACACATGTTTAACACACAAATCCTGCATATTCAGGCTGTGCTCTTCTCTCAAATTGAAACCACTCTGTTTCATCTTGTGATGTGGTAATACAGGAAGAGCTCCACTGAATCATTTGGATAATAGTCTTTTGTTCAGTAGAAAAGGGTAATTCCAAGGCTGATACTATCCAAATGATTTTAGTGAAGGTGTATGGAGTTTAAAAACACAGTGGAGCACTTTCTGTATTACCACATGACATCAAAAGGTGGAACTCAACCTAAACATGCAGGGTTTGTGTGTTAAACATGTGTGTGAGAAACAAAACACACAACTCCAGGCATGTTTGTGATGAGAAAACAACATTATAACATACATCAGAAAATAGTGTAATATGCCTTCCTTTCCCACTACTTCGTTAGGAAATAACACGTAGTATTTATTCACTCGTATGACCTTGCAGTGTTCTATTCTGTTCCTGTCTCCTCTTTAATAAAATACAGATCCTATGGCTGATCCCAGACCAGTACCATATAGCCGTTGTAAAAAACTACCAGTAAAAGTCTGCCCCAGCTGTTTTATCTATTGTCTCTATTCTGGGCCTAAGGTGAGCCTGGGACCCTCTGCTTCCTGTCTCCTGCTTTAGATTAGCCTGTGCTCTGTCTGTCTGGGCCTATATAGTAAATGCACATTTCTGGCTACCGTTAAGAGCGGCCTCGGGGATGGAAAAAATAACTTATTCAGAGGGTTTACCAAAATCTGGGTCAAATAACTGCACAAATAACAATTCCAAGACAACAGCCTCTGTGCTTTTTTGCCATTACAATAAACATATACTAATGGCAAGGTTGTAATGTGAAAAAATACTAAATTGAAAGAACATTTTCGGATGTAAATGAATAGACCGGGTGTGTTGGTCTGTAGTGTGGCTCAGTGGCAGAGACGCAGTACAAATGCTGTTCTTTCAGTCATTACAATTAGGGTTATATCATGATTCATGTACTTCCTGACACTGGCTTTCTGTAATTGGTTAAATCCCCCTGTCATTCACTTAGAACCTTACAGTACAACACCTGACCAATAGGAAGAGTAGAATTAGATCAGTAAGTGGATGGAATGAAGACACTATAAATCTGACAGGAATCTGACTTGCGATTGGATCTGAGTAGTCACACTATGAGTCTAGTGTTTAAACCAGAACGCCAGATAACTGGCCTAGTCCTATTACAACCAACAGACCTATGACTGAGAAGTCGTGAATGTAATGTCAAAGATCCCAGTATCACATCTGAAGAAGCAGATAGGTACTCAGATTCCTACTTCATGTCCATGCAGTCCATTTTACATTAGGCACAGACGAGGAGAGGCGTTCAACTGCACTAACACAGTCAGGAAAATATCAGACAGTGTTTAGATGTATCCTGACATGACAATTAACAAGCCAATGTTGGCCCAAAACACCTCATATTATTAAGTAAGTAAGTTTTTATTTATATAGCGCTTTTCACAGACATATGTCAAAAAGACGCTTTAGAGACTATTATTCATTCACCCCATTCCTGTTATATATATATTAAACTTGTATTTTTTTGTTCTGTAGTTACATCAAATAATAAATAACAGTTATAGCACATGTTGTTATGTTAAATATGTTTCAGTGTGTTTGTTGGTGTTTTGTTTGTAAGAGCCTTGGATTAATGCAGTCCCTAGCATGTATGGTTGTTTAGCGCACTCAGAGCTCCCTGTGCACGTAGCTGTAGTGGGTGAAACATGTACTTTTGACAGGTTTATCACAGACAGAGCACGGCCTCCTGCGGTCTCTTGGAGCCGAGCACATCCTCGTCTCCGTCCTTGTCCCTCTTAAGATTCAGAGCGACCCTAAGGCTGTGCGCTTTGAAAAACAGGAAACTCTTTATTTTTGTTCACAAGGTGTACCCACAGGACACACAGCACTGCTGTGGCTCCAGAGAGAAAACAAGGGGGATTGTGGGTCGTAGGGCTCTGTACAGTGTGGGGCAGGAGGTCCTGACCATCGACACAGGTCCAAACAGGAAAGAACCAGCCACATACCCACAGCTGGTATTTCCCATTCCCGCAAAACACCACAGTGACCCCAAACTATACCTTAGTCCCACAATCAAACTTATGTAAAGACATAATGTATTTGTACGAGTCAAGACTATATGCATAGTCTATATCACAATGCAACTCATATTTCTCCTATGCATTTTTTGACGAGCAGATTTACTTATAACTCTAAAGCTGCATGCTAACATGCAGACATGGTTTTAAATATTGTACTGAAAGAAAAAAAAAAATTAAAAGTAAACAAATAATACATGAACATATATAGGACTATAACTAGCCAAAACTAACTAAAGTAAAGTCTTTACTTTTATTAGCCTACAAATAATTTATCTGTGCAAATCTGTAAATTCTGTAAAAAAAAAAATATATATATATATATAAATAAATAAATAAATAAAAATCTAAATTCAAATCATGTGCACTGTCATGGCATATACTTTTGTACATGTAATGTACTTATGTTTGTGTGTGGTGATGAACTGCCCTTCAAGGGACTGTGAAAGTTTTCTCATTCTGATCCTGATTCCAAATATTTGTAAGTTTAATACAAAATGTTTTTACACAAAATTGTATGTATTATATTTTTCTGGTCGAGGCTCTGTCACCTGCTTGTTTCCCATGGATCTATTAAAATAACCGGATAGGGTATTGTTAGATTAGAGCTCGACTCACTGATACTTCAGTGAAAAATCCTGCCCAGACAGGATTTTTCCCATAGAGCACAATGTAATCACAAAGTGCTGGTGTTTGGCTGACAGGGGACCTACAGTTTCCAGAAAGGGATTGGATTCTGTGGCACTTTTAACAACTTTCAGATCAACTTTTTCTCGGCTCAAAATCCTTCAGTTTGTTTTAAAAACAGCGTTTTATGAAGTATCTCCAGCTTCGTTCTGCTTCGCTTTAGCTACTCTCACTCTGATTGGTCAAAGTGATCATGTAAGCGCGTGCAAAGAACGCAGTCTCTGCATTTGCATTGTGCCCGCGTCAGAAAAGGGCACTTACTGCACATGTTCAGTGGGCAGAGAGCCACCAGGAGTACTTATTCAGACTAGACTAATCTGAAGACCTGTGCCTTTGACCTCAGCTCACTGACTTGAATGGGTGGCCATATTTAGGCCCCGAGGCTTGTTGTGTCTGTGGTGATGTCATTGCTTAGTCTGCCCAAGAATGTTACATGATAAGGCATTAAACTTATATATATCTCCATGAAGCAAAGCAGGTGACACCACTAGGCTATGTTACCTTGAGAGGTTTAATAAAAATGCCTGTGTTTCAAAGAGTTTTGAGCAAAAAAATACAGGTCTAATTGATCTAATTAGTGCAAAGACAAGTTTAATGCCATACTTTGGAACAAGTCAGTGGGTGACCCTGCACTAGAAAAGTTACATAGTACATGATTGAAGGCTACACATACTGTATAAACCTAAAATAACATTTTTAGGCTGAATTCGTGGGAACCCGGTGGTCGTGGAGACAGTGACAGGCCAAACGGGACCTCAGAGACACAAGAGGAAGTGAAACAAACGGAGCGGTGTCACAGTGAAATACTGCCCCACGCTCTGTTCCACACAATCACACACTGTATTATTCACACATATCCTGGCCTTGTTTTGGTTCCACTCGCACAAACTGGGGGAAACATACTGATCCTGGACGCACACAGACGGACGCAGCACACACAGTTCTCACAGGCAGGACGGGGGCAACAGGGGCTCGTACGTACCACTGTCAAACTGTTACACTGCATATGATTTACAATAGACAAATCTATTCAGTGCAATAACAGCAAATTGAAAGGTGCACTATGTAAAAATCTAGTTAAGTGTATCGGCCTGTGTCCATGGAGACAAGCATACAGGTCAGATCTGTGGAGAGGCGCCCCCCCCCATAGGTCTTTGATAGGAGGTTGAATGTATGTTTTTTTGTTTTTTTTGTTTGTTTGTTTCAAGGTAATACTTGTAATTGAAAATATGTGAGATTTAAAAGTCTAATGCCATCCTGTGGACTATTTTGGCCAAAGGTCAAACTATAGCAGCCGTGATTGTCTTTCACACTGCGGTACATGTTTACACAGAGTCTGGAGGGAGATAGATCAATCAACTGTGTTACTAGTTTTAATTAAAGTGAGCTCTCAGGAGGATAGAAGCACCAGAGAAAGGCCACAGGTTAAGTTTACCACTATATAATGTCCAGTATACTCGAGCAGCAGAAGCACAGTACAAGAGAGAATATAGAACAGTTGAAATAGTTGTTGTTTGTTTCCAATGAGGCAATGTATAAACCAGAAAACGATAAACATAGCTAACAAATCCTCTCATAAGCAGTGCTGAGAAGGACAGAGAATACATGTTCTGAATACTAATCTTGAGTAACTGTATTCAGGTACAGTTACTTTATCATATGGTGGTTTTCAGAATACAGTTACTTTCCTAAATTCATAGGATTACACTGTTGACAGTATAATTTTACAATTTAGGCTTCAAATTGTTCAATATTAGTGAGAAAAGTAGAAAAGAGTGTGGTAAGTGCAGTTTCTCCTTTTCTCCATTTAGTGATAAAGAAATGTGCAACACTCAAACAAACATAAAGCTGTTTTAATACTATGTCGCACTATAATTTAAAAGCAATTTGATGCAAAAGTATTTTAAGTATTCAAAATACAGTACTCTGATTGGACCATGTATTAGAATTCATCACAAAATACATTTTAATGCAGGTTTTCAGTATTCTTCCCATCACTGCTCATTAGCTTGAATATATAATGCCATGAACAGTGTGAAGTCTTACCTCCGATGGCACTGCACCTGGAGGTGAGCTCCCACAGCACCAGGGCCATGGAGTACACGTCGGCCTGTTTAAAAGACTCAATGTTTTCTAAGTTGATCCTGGACTCGAGCACCTCTGGAGCCATGTACCGCGCTGTCCCCACCTGAAAACACAGTACACATATATAAAACATGCACAAGAAAATCTCAAGTCAAGTCCCATTATTAGGTTTTCAACAGTGGTGGATCATAACAAAGTAGAACTAGTTAAGTACTGTACTATAAAATAAGTATAAATTTTAGATAGATGTACTTTACTTATGCAGATTAATTTTCAAAAATGGCTGTCTTCGAAGGAAAAATCATCTTTCTTGGACATTTTTTCTGTTAGCTGTGATATTTTAATTGTTTTGGAAATGCTGCAGTCTGTTTGGAGCATGTCAAAGCTGGCACAGACACTTGGTCCAAGTTGAAATTGAGTCCTAAGTCTTAATCTCAACTCATCTCATTGCAAAATAAAGTCCACATTGCTGGCTCTGAATTCCCACATTTATGTATTCACTTGTGTCTTTGTCCCTCCTCCATACAAGTCCTAAACATCTCAATGTGGATGCATCTGACTTTATCACTCCAAAACATTTAACTCCTCAAAGTTACCCACCAACGACTTCATCGACCTTTTGCTTGCAAGTTTTAAATGTTCAGATGTGACATTATCTAAGCCATAGGACTTTCCTCTTAAGCTTGAGTACTGCATCAAAAACTTCTCGTTGCTTGACTATTATCTTATTCTTCCGCCCAACAGTATCTATACTTTCCTTTATACAATTAAACACATCACAGTAAAATTTCCACCATAACTGACACTCACCCTGTCAAGAACATAAGGGCCTCTTTCCAGAAGTGATTATACGTGTTATTTTGCAGTTTAGACGCCACTCTAAAGCCACTCTCTCAGCTGACCTTCATTTTTCTTTATATACCTCAGTGCATATTTGAATTTAGCATGAGCATGTTTCATGTGTCACTTCCCAGCTTCCTCATCAAAAACATACCTGGAATTATGTTTTGTTTTATTCTCACATATTTACCACACAGTCCCTGCATATTTTGGTTGAGTCCTTCTCTCAAACAGAAAATATACCGTGTGCTACTGTGTTTTTAAACTACATACACCTTCACTAGAATAATTTGGATAATTTTAGCCCTGGAATTGCCAATCTCTACTGAACTAAAGGTAAAATGTAGCTGTTAACTTGAAAACTACCACTTCATGACATCATAAGCTGGAACGGAGGATTTTGAGTTCTGGAGATGTAGACAGACTAATAATAAAGGATTACTCAAACATGTGTGAATGAAACAAAACTCAATTCCAGGTATGTTTTTGAGGAGGTAACACCATTATAACATGGCTTAAAGCTCAGAAGAATACATTTTTGCGTAATATATGACCTTTAAATGCTATAGGCCTGCCTACTGTAATCATCTAAAACCCAGCCTCTTGTAATTGTCTCTGTACGTACCTGTCCACTGTTGGCCAGTTCATCCACAGACAGAGAGCTGTCCAGTCTCAGAGCCAGGCCAAAGTCACACAGGCAGCAGTTCAGGTCACTTTTCACCAGGATGTTGGAGCTCTTAATGTCCCGGTGGGCGATGGCGATCTTGTTACGCCCACAGCTCGTATGGTCGCTATGGAGATGGGCCACTCCTTGCGCTAAAGATCCCCCCAAAAGCCAAAGATCGTGCCAGCTGATCACATGATGTGTCAAAAAGTCCTGGAGATTCCCTTTGGCGTGATAGGCGGTTATGATCCAGTACTGTCTTTGCACTTTCCTCTCTTCCGCTGTCAGAAAATGTAACACGTTTTCATGACGCAAATCTGCATCTGAAAATACGTCTTTTTCGTTTTTCCACGATGCATACTCCTCGTAAGGAAATATTTTGACAGCAACAGTTTCGAATCCTTGCTCCTCACTCACTGAACCTTGCTTTAGCTTGGCTCTGTACACTTCTGCAAATCGTCCTTTTCCAACCAGGGCATCCAGCGCAATCGGGAGAAGTTCGGTGTTATGGTTGAGGTTGTTGGCGTGGGCGGAGCTGCTGTCAGATCCTTCGTCGTCGATCATGATGGCGTGGGCGTCGCTGTCCAGAGGGGCTCCTTTTTTGCGACGGGAGTTGGCCCTGCGTTGGCGGTAAACTCGGTAAAAGTAAAAGGAGGTGATGACAAAGACGGCCATGACCAGGAGAGGGACCAGGCTGACCAGGACTACAGCCACCACCGGGGAGTCTGAGAGAGTAAGAAGAAGAGAATCAGTCTAAAAACTACCTGAGCAAATACTTAATACTTGTATGTTACTTTTATATATGTCATTATATAAAAGTAAACATTTTTAATCTGTAATCAGTGTTTTTTTCTGGAGAGTAGAGGCATTTATACACCAAAATTTTGTATTAAAGAAAATGATTCAAATATGGACGCTTGTGCCACAATAAACCTGTGGGAAACACTGAGAATTATAGTTGTTTAGTAAGTAAGTACACAAGTATACAGTTTAAAAAATAAGATTAAAAAGATGCAGGTTTACTTTTATGCTCTTGAAGAAACGGCTTAATATTACACAAACAAAATGATTCTTAAAGAGGAGGTATTTTACTTCTATGGGGCAATAATTGCTAAAACATAACATACTACGTTACCTTTTATTGTATTGTATTGTATTATATTAACATATTATGTTTAGTAAGTTTCACTGAGGCCCCCTGCCTTTGATCCCAGTGTTAAGTCACTCCCCCTTCAGAGCGCTATCACAACACAATCAGTGTGCATCATGCTGATGAAACTATTGCACATTGCATCAGGTTTGTCAAGTTGCCGTGTGCAGTTTCATATCATGTTTTTGCGTGTTTATGCAGAATTATCGTGTGGGAGCATGGATGAAGCAGGCTTGTGGGCTGAGTATTTGACAGAATTTAACTGTAAGGACGGTTCAAATAGACCTTCTTCACGACGGCCAGAAGTGCCACGATGAAGGGTAAACATCACTTATGTTAATGCTTTTCTATGGCAAAATATCTGTGGAAATGTCTTGCGTATTTTCTACCAGCTTCATAAATCTGCCTTACCTTGATAGTTGTGGATAAATTCTTAGTTGACAGAATACGTCCTTTGTCGACCTTGTTGGATGAAGATTTGGTGATGGGGCAGATTTATGAAGCTGGCGGAAAATACGTGACACATTTCCACAGATATTTTTCCATAGAAAAGCATAAACGCATGTGATGTTTACGCTACATCATGGCACCGTTGTGAAAAAGGTCTATAGGACCTGGGGGAGATTGTTAAAATACTCAAACATCTAAAACTTCTTCAGGCATGTTTTTGTTGATTTTGCCTAATACATCCTCTTTAAAGGTACACTGTGCAACTTTTCTGGTGGGAAGTCCAAAACCAGCTTCTTTCCAAGGAAATATTGTCTGAAATGACCACCACCACCACCACCACCCTCAGCTGACAGTCCTACTCTGGCTGAGGACTTAAACCTCTTTTATGCCCGTTTTGACAGGAATAACACCGACCCTGGCCTGTCCCCTTTCCCCTCGACGGACCCTGCTCCAGTCCTGAGCACTCATGAGGTGAGACGTGTGTTCCGCAGCATCAACACCAGGAAGGTGGCCGGACCAGATGGAGTACTGGGCCGGGTGCTAAAAGACTGTGCTGCAGAGCTGGCGGATGTCTTCACCTCTATATACAACACCTCACTGTCCTGTTCACTGGTTCCAGCTAGTTTCAAAGCAGCAACCATTGTCCCCATCCCAAAACAGTCAAACGTCACATGTCTGAACGATTACAGACCTGTGGCACTCACTTCCATTCCCGCCAAATGCCTGGAGAGACTGGTCATAAAACACATCAAAGCCGCTTTGCCACCATTCCTGGATCCATACCAGTTCGCATACAGAGAGAACCGGTCAACTGAGGATGCCATAGCCATGGTGCTGCACATACTACTGGAGCACCTGGAGCACAAGAACACCTATGCTCGGCTCCTTTTTGTAGACTACAGTTCGGCTTTTAACACCATCCGGCCATACAAACTTCGGTCCAAACTCCACCAACTGGGACTCAACTCCTCTCTGTGCAACTGGACTGTGGACTTTCTCACCAACCGTACACAGAGTGTCAGAGTGGGCAAGAACACCTCCCCCACCCTTGTTGTTAACACAGGGGCCCCTCAAGGGTGTGTTCTGAGCCCTCTGCTATGCACTCTCTTCACCCATGACTGTCTTTCCTCCTCCGCGTCCAACCTCATCGTTAAGTTCGCTGATGACACCACAGTGCTCGGCCTCATATCCAACGACGATGAGGTTAACTACAGGAGGGAGGTGCAACACCTGGAGTCATGGTGCCACCACAATAACTTGGTTTTAAACACCAAAAAGACCAAGGAGATTGTTGTGGATTTTCGCAGGAAAGGTCACAACAACCATCTACCTCTCCTCATTGGCACCGAGGTGGTGGAGAGGGTGAGCAGTTTTAAATTCCTGGGGGTAACCGTGACTGAGGACTTGTCCTGGGGCAATCACATCACCTCAGCTGTACGGAAGGCCCAACAGCGCCTTTCCTACCTGAGGAAATTGAGGAGTGCCCACATTCCCAGACCTCTGATGTTGAACTTTTACAACTGTGCCATCAGCAGCGTTCTGATGTATGGATTTTTAGTGTGGTTCTCCAGCTGCACTAAGGCTGACCAGCAGGCACTCCAGCAGGTGGTGAAAGCAGCCGGTAGAATCATTGGAACAACTCTGCCAGAAATCAGCACCATCTACTCCGCTCGCTGTCTGAGAAGAGTGCACAACATACTGCGGGACCAACATCACCCTGCGCACCATCTTTTCCACCTGCTGCCCTCAGGGAGAAGGTACAGGTCCATACGGGTCAGAACATCCAGACTGGCCAACAGTCTGTATCCACAGGCTGTGAGGCTCCTAAACTCTGCCCCTCTCCCCCCTTGGCCCCTCTCTGCCCCCCTCTCACGGACAAAAAACACATCCAACCCTTAATAACACTGAACTTGTTGCATTGTTGCATTTTTCTGTCATGATTCTTGCTGCTATAAGAACCGTCTCATGTTGTACTGTGGCCACACTGGGTTAATGTTTACACTTGAGTTTAAGGGGTATTTATTATTTATGGTTTGCACTTTATGGGAGGCTCCAAACGCAATTTCGTTGTTCTGTGACAATGACTAGAAGTTGAAATAAACTAATAAACTAATAAATTTGGAAATGTTCCACAGTATAGCATTACATGTATTTATTTCTATGGAAACAACAGATGAAACCACAGGGCCAAGTTACATGTTAGATCTGCAGAGAGGCACGGTCAGTCATAGTACATTTTTAGGTTAATAACAGCCCATTTTATTGAGTTAATGCAAGATACATATGTTTAATGTCATTCCAGGACATTCCAGACAAAACAATATATATCATGGAAACAAGCAGGTAAAGTTACACAGTGCACATTTAATAAAATAGTTCAATATAATATCAAGTACTGTGTTTCAAAGAAGCAGTTTTTCTAAGATAAATTATAAATGTTTAATCTCATGAGTGTGGTAATAACCCTGTAGTTCAGACTTAATTCTCTTGCTTTACACTGAGACACTAAGCAGGAGCAGAGGAGCTTGTCTCTGCTGCGGTGGCCCATATCTTCAGACAGTCACAGGGCTAAAGTTAAACCTGCTCCACACTCACAGGGCTAGACCACATATTGTGTTTTTGTCAAGTCTGTGTCTGCTTCTTTTAACTGTGGACCATTTTGGGAAACTTTTACTTGTGGTTTGCTCTTTACAGCTGAAGAGGAGACCTACAAAAATGTGTATCTCTAGACACAGTCAGCCATTTGAATAAACATTTGACGCACGGAACAACTTCTGAGAAATTATCAGCTTGTAAAACTTGTATACCGTACATACTACACTATTACAAATTGTTGCTTTCCTTAGTTTTTTTTATACCATATTTGTCGGACTATAAGTGGCACTTTTTTCATGGTTTGGGTGGTCCTGCCACTTATACTCCGGTGTGACTTATATATTAAAACTTTCAGCCTGATAACTGTGAGAGGGCGCTCTAGGCTTGTGTGTCAGGATCTGCCACTCCTGTACCACTGTCACTTTGTGCCCTACTGCGTACGTCTCCTACACCTGTCCTGCTGCAAGTAGTGAAGTATGCAGCTGAAAACGGTAATCGAGCAGCAGAAAGAAAATTTGGAGTGAGCAAGAAACTTGTGAAGACCGGGAGGATGCATCATTGATCGACAAAGCCTGGACTTCAGTGACAACCGAAACCATCCTGTTGGGATTCAGAAAAGCCGGAATAATTCTAACTGGAACTGATGCTGAATCTGACAGCAGCTACACAGAAGAGAAAGCGGTGCTCCTTTTAGCTTCGGAGGTCGTGAAGTTGCTCAGAAGTGAAACTGAGAATGAAGAATTCAATGGATTTAGTGATTTGGAGTGAGATGGAGAGTTTGGTAAACTTGTTCTGTTCTGTTGTTTATGTTATAGTTTATCTGAAGAACTGTTCATATGTGACGTTAACAGTCTGTTGTTCTCTGTTCTGTTGTTAATGCTGTAACTTGCCTTTCAGGATGAAATGTCAGTTCTTGGTCTATGATTTTATAAAATAAATTTCCCCCAAAAAGTGCGACTTGTAATCCGGTGTGACTTATATATGTCTTTTTCTTCTTCATTACGCATTTGTTGCTGGTGCAACTTATAGTCCGGAGCAACTTCTTGTCCGAAATATATGATATATATAGTTGTGATAATTTTGAGCACATTAATAACAAAATAAACAAAAACAAAATAAAATATAAAATTACCTTGAAAAATATGTCTTTTACTGTAATCAACCCACCTCTCCTCAAATCGTAAAACAAAACCTGTGGCTTAGAGCTTAGAGAGGCCTAGAGTTGCCTCTCCACAGATTTGACCTGCAACTTGGTCTGGTTTGGTCTCCATGAAGCTAGAAAGGTTTAATACCATACTGTGAAACATTCCAGACGAAGCAATAACATGTCCATGGAGAAAATCATTTGACTGACTCTTCACCAGAAATGCAATACAGTCCACCTTTAAGTTTTGCTTTAAAAACAAGTGCAGAGCAGAGTAGCAGTTGTAGGGCGTTAGTTTGCCCAGCCCTTGCCTTCACTGTTTTTTTTCAAACAGGAAACCACATGTCTGAAATCCTCTCCGTGGCCCCAGACAGTTTGTTTTGATTTTTGTAGAATCAGAAGCAACAAACTCAACATGAGTCTGGACAGCTCGCCTCAGGCCTGGGACTCAACAGAAACTTATAATGGCTAAAAAATGTTGAGAATCCAGACGTAGGGGGCATTTTAAACCAACCTCAAACTGCAGAGTGTGAATGCGTAATGTGAAAGTGAAGGAGGGAATAGACAGAAGCACGCACCTGTGTTTTTTTTAAGGATTGACTTGCAAATGCAGCTACAACAACACTGAGACTGGAAAACTTGCAAATGTAAATTACTGTTTGCTAAGAGGCACAAGATTTGGGGGCAAGTAGCTCAGTAGTAATAGTGTTAACCCACAAACCCAAAAGTAGGTAGTTAAATCCCTCTTCTGACCAGAGAATGTTGGTATTATTATGTCCTTGGGTGCACACAGACTGCCTTGTATGATTTTGTCTGTAATATTTTGTGTGTGCTGTGGTTTACACTTGCACAATCAAAAAAACAAAACTAAATCTGGACTAAAACCAGGATTAGAATACAGGACCAAACCGAGTCTATATCAGGACTAAACTGGGCTAAAACCAGAACCAAACCAGGATAAGAATGAATGGAGAGTGTCACAGATCGACAGCCAGGCTTGTCTCAGTCTACCCCGAGGCAGCTGTGGTTATAAAAATACTGTAGTTCCCACCACTGAATACGAGGAGTGAATGAATAATGCATGAAATTGTAAAACTATTAAGTGTCTGGAGAGGTGAAGCTCTGTATCATTCGTTCATTTGTTTTTCAAAATAAAACCAAAAATAAGAAAATGAAAAAACTAAAATTTTCTTCATTATTTGTTTCCAAACCACAATGAAAAAACAGATAATAATTTGTTTTTTCAGTTTTCAATTTTGTGTTTAAATGAATTTAAAAGTTTCCTGGTTCAGTCCTGGTTTTGTCGTGGTTCAATTCTTTTTTAGTCCTGGTTAAGTCCTAATTTAGGACTAAGAGCGGGACCAGACCGGGACTGAGGCCAGGACTGCAACCGGTTTAGACCTGGTTTAGTCCTGGTTCAGTCCGTATGCGGTGCAAAAGTCCGGCATTGCAGTTTAAGTCACGGAAATGGGAAACTTTTTTTTTCAAGTATTTATTTAAACACAAAATTGAAAACTGAAAAAACAAATCCACCTTTTTCCATTTTGATATTGGAGACAAATAATGAAGAAAATTGTTGTCTTTTTCATTTTCTTATTTTTGGTTTTATTTTGAAAAACAAATGAACAAATGATACACAAATTGAGGTGCTAGAGAAGACTTTACCATGTGGATCAATAAAGTTTGTCCATGTTTGTCCAAGCCGCTGTGCTTCCAAATTAAAGTCAAGCGGGCAGGACTGAAGATATTCTAAACCCAACATTTCAAACTCTATTTCAGTGCCAATTTTAATACCACAAAGACAATTTAACAATATGTTTTCACAGTATGTAATTGGCAGCACATAATAACAGTAATCTCTGCTGTATTGTGTAATTTTTCTGGTGGAGGATCCGTCAAATGCTTTTCTCTATGGAGATGTTATTGCTTTGTCTGGAATGTTTCACAGTATGGCATTAAACCTTTATATCTCTATGGCAGGGGCCTCCAACCTTTTTTCCTTCAGTGAGCTACCTTTACAAAAAACTAAAAATAAAAATGCCAGAGAGCTACTAGTTTTAGCAGTTTCCAGAAAAGGAAATATAGCCTATAAAAGATAAACCATTATCCAGTTATCAGTTCACAAAGTTAGGCATAAAAATTATACACTTGCGATGGAAACAGGCAATCAATCACATTTTAGTTATTCAGCGCAATACGTATAATTCAAAAATCCCTTGGTGAGCTACTTGGAAGGGGGTGGAGAGCTACTGGTTGGAGACTTCTGGATTAAGGTGACCAGATTTTCAAAATAAAAATACTGGGACATCCATAGTTTGGGTTGGTTGGTAATAAAATTGTGAAATGAGTGCGTAATTAAGGAAAATTGTTATGCACTTGGCCGAGTCAGTGTAGTCACATTTTCTTAATGTTTTGGTCATTTTTAAGCAGCTTTTCTGTATTTTACCTAAACAAATGACAATTTATGCCTGTGTCTACTGTTGGTAGGGATCAAATTGGTCAAAAAAGGGACATCTGGGTTATTTCTTGTATAAAACTGGGACAAATCACTGATTTTGGATAAATCTGGTGGGTCAGGGGACACAGGGCTCAGGGGCTAAATAGGCATTTAATTGTAATTCAGAAATACCTTGGCGAGCTACTTGAAAGGGGTGGAGGGCTACTGGTAGCTCCCGAGCTACAGGCTGGAGACCCCTACTTTATGGAGACCAAACCAAGATCTGTGGAGATGCGACCCCGCTCACACTCAGAATATCTGTTTTTCTAGGTATTTTTTTAGCTATAAAACCACCTCTAATTGAGAAAATGTAATGTAGAGCTGTTTAATGTCATACTGTGGAACATTTCAGGCAGAGCAATGACATGTCCATAGAAACAAGCAGGTGACGGACCCCCAACCTAAAAGTTACACACTACACCTTTAATTAAATCCTGTATGGCTCAAATCTTGTCATATAGTCAAAAAATAACCACAATTTTCCCTCTAGTGCAAAGAAAATATACACAAGATAAATACTGACCCCCAAAAAATAGTGTTCCATCTGTCCTGTATTAAACTAAACTAAACTAAAGTCGATATAGTAATTATTGTGACAGGTCTAATGCTAAAAGGCTAAAAAAGTCTATTCTACACTCTAGCCTTCTTCTACTACATTAGCCATTGAGTAGTTCCCCAGACATTCCCCACAGTGAAGGAGCATATTTCCATGACGCAACCCCACTCCACAGATGCTTCTAATTTATCTTCAGAGCAGAGCCAAGACAGGTCTAGGAAGTGTAGCTTTGTGTTATTGTTGTAGTCAAAATACACAAAAGTCCTATGCCAACAAGTAACTGGAGACTTCACGAGTGACTGTCCAAAAGCTGTTAGTGATCACGGCTCTGGCAGACGTTTGCGTGCACACATGTGAGCATTCATGTGTGAAAGGCTAACAAGACGACATGACAGTAAACGGTCTAATGAAATGTGAATGATGTAACAGCTGCGGCGTGGTACAGATGTGGTAACGGCGCTGTCTGTTTTGGCAAAGGGTTAATGAAGTGTTTAGTAGAAGAAGACAAGAGTCAGCTGGTCTTAAGATGTTTAAAACTAAAAATGTTAATTGGCTTGTTGCAGAAAGAAATGCACTGATAAAATGGATGATGTAATACGAGGCTTATTTCTGATCTATTTTAAAATGCTGTTTCTTCATCAAAAACATACCTGGAGTTTTGTTTTGTTTCATTCACTCATGTTTAACACAAACCCTGCATATTTAGACTGAGTTCTTCCCTCAAACTGAAAAACACTCTGTTACAGGAAGTGCTCTACTGTGTTTTTAAACTCCATACACCTTCACTAGTCTAGAAGCATTAGGATAATTTCAGGTCTGAAACTACTAATCTCTACTGAACTAACAGTTAGGGACGTAACAATTACTGCAATATTGTGATAACGTATCGTAAAAATTCTCACAGTAATATCGTGGACCATCACAATATCGAATCTCAAGTCTCTTTGCTTAAATTCATTGTTTTGGTGCAGCAACATGATACTTTGCTCTGTTTCAGTCCAATTTACATGAAGAAACAACTGTTATTAAACATGTTTAAATCTTAACTCTTTTGTTTATGATAAAACCAAAAGGTTGTGAGGACACTTTGAAGGAAAAGTAGTATATTCACAGTTTTGTTAGCATCTAAAACATATTGCAATAAATATTTGACCGTGAGATGCATATTGAGAAAATATTGTACAGAGAAATTTTGATATCTTTACATCCCTACTAAAGGTAAAAGGTAGCTGTTAACTTGAAAACTACAGCTTCATGATATCATAAGGTAGAACAGAGCATTTTGAGCTTTGGACATGTAGACAATAGATGTAGACTAATAATTAGTAACTCAAACATGTGTGAATGAAACAAAACACAACTTTTTTCCTAAAACAAATTTTCCATAAAATAGGATCTTTAAACTGCATCACAATTTGGAGATATACAGGATTTTATACTGTTATAGACACCATTTTGAGGTAATATATTTTTGTTTAACCCAATTTAGCCATTTTAAGGTTCAAAATTTTACTTCCTGGTTGGGAATTGTGTAGCCAGGCTGGCGCCACCTAGTGCCTCCACTCAATTTAATTTCTCTCCAGCAACTAGGTCAGGAATCGAAATACACTAGATGATTTGTAAAAACCCCGAAAGTTGTAGACCGTACACTGGCTTATCAGTGAAGAGCTGTGAAGCCATGACGTCAAACTCAAGTGTCTGTCTGTGTACTTTTGTGGAACAGCACAACAGTAAACAAAGCGGTTGAGATGGATGTAGACGAAGACAGACATTCTGTGTTGGCAATGATTCCCGAGATCGAGGATTTAAGGCCGGAACAAAGAAAATGTTTAGTGAATTTTATCAAGGGGAAAGACATTATTGCCCTTCTTCCTACAGGATTTGGTGCAATACATAACATCACGACCAAATAGCAGTGATTGGTTAAATAAAAAAAGGACCAGTCTACCATTGAGTGAACAAATCCTAATTCTGCGAGGTCAGACGGTTTCCACAAAGTGAAACCGGCTGATGAATCAGGCTAGCAATTGTGACATCGCAGTAGGGAATTCACAACTGTTATCTCTAAAACTCCTCTAATGTACATAAAAATATGACAAAACTTAAATCATATTAAAAGTATCAAAAAAAAAAAAGGTTAAAAAATTCTGTATATTTAAACTCTCTACTTCCTGTCATTTTCAACATATTTTCAACTTTTCTTCAGAGATTGCTTCTTGTTTGGTGTAAAACTATCATTTTTTTGTACAACAGGTATTTTCCCACCACATTAAGTCAAAATGAACACTTTAGGCACAATCAATCTACTTACACACATAACAGCACTGGTACTCACTGCTGTTGAAGAAGATATGCTCATTGCACTCGTCCTCGGAGCAGGAGCAGATGTAGAAGAGCGAGCCCTGTCCGCTCCTCTCTCTCATCTCACATTTACTGTTGTTATAATCGTCCAGACGCAGCCCGTGAAGCCTCAGCTCTGGGTTATGACATATCGTGTCAAAGGTCACATTGTCCTCTTTCTTCCTCCTAAAACAGAGTTAACAACATTATAATCACGTGGTTTGTTCGTAGAAAATACTCAAAAGGACACTTCAGATGTTCAAATCCTGTCTTTTTGACTCTCTTGTGATTAGACCCAAAGTGCAGACATCCTTCATCCTCAGCTTCCTGCACCAACCAGGGTATTGCAAAAATTTAAAGGTCCAAAATTGTCTTTTGGGAGCTTTAAATCATGTTATAATGCTACCTCATCAAAAACATACCTGGAGTTGTGTTTTGTTTCAATCATATGTTTGAGTAACCCTTTATTATTACTCTGTCTGCATCCTCAAAGCTCAAAATGCTCTGTTCCACCTTGTGATGTCATGAAGCTTTAGTTTTCAACTTAACAGCTACCTTTTACCTTTTGTTCAGTAGAAATTGGCAATTCCAGGTCTAAAATTATGTCAAGATTCTAATGAAGGTGTATGGAGTTTTAAAACACAGTGGAGCACTTCCTGTATTACCACACGACATCACACAGGTGGAACAGAGTGTTTTCTGTTTGAGAGAAGAACTCAGCTTAAATATGTAGGGTCTGTGTGTTTAACATGTGTGAATAAAAAAAATACACACACAACTCCAGGTATGTTTGTGATGAGGAAACTACATTATGACATAGATCACAAAACAGAGTAATACGGGCCCTTTAAAGCTGCACTATGTAACTTTTAGTCAGAGGCCTATCACCTCCTTGTCTCCATAGAGATATACAATGTTCCACTACTTGTAAAATAAGCAAGTTCTGGACCTGCCACCAAAAAGTTACATCGAGCATCTTAAACTGATTTATTTATTACAAAATTGGTCTAGTTCTTATGAGATGTGTGATTTTGTCCAATCAGAACATGCTATGAATTTTTGTCAGTCCAAAAAAAAACATTCTCCTCTTTTCATCTGCTTTGTGATAAACCACAGATTCTATATTTATCATATTGAGCCTATATCCTCTACAGAATAGAAATAGTTCCAGCAGCTTGACTTCCAGTTCCCATTACAAACAGGATACGAGGAAAAGGCCTGAACGTGCACAAATGTACATGTAGATGGAGCTCCCCGCTGTGCACTGGCTCTATAAGCAGCAGAGAGAGGCGCTGCTGCTGTGTGCTCATGCCTCTGCTCAGATCATAACAGGACTTAAGCACGGACACAGACAAAGGTTCAAATGTGCATCATCAGAAGAGCAGAGACTCGCAGAGGATTCAACTTTGTACTAATGATAAATGGTCACATTTTTGTGTAACATTTTTCCACCGTCAAGGCACTCAAAGCTTTACATCAAGGAACCAATCACTCATCCACACACACACATTCATACACCAGTGTACACAGACACTGGGAGCGAGGGCGTTAAATGTCTTGCCCAAAGACAAAACAACAGTATTTATCGCCAACCTTTGGGCCAGTGGATTTGACCTCTCTCCTAATGATGTTTTATGCTGAGAGTGGGATTTGAACTGCCAACCTTCCAGATTTTTAGACACCACGATGCAAAATGTAAAAACAAGATGCTTTGACTACTGTTGACACAAAGAAAAGTAATAACTTCACTTTGTTTTACTCACAGTATGTTAAGTCTGTTTTTTAAACTGTTATGTAACTACAGTACTGAAAGATTGTGACACTTATATACATATTACCACATTCTTGAGTTACACCACACAGTGAACTACCAGTACTTTACAATACATTCCCTGTCAGTGGTGGAACATAACAAAGTAAAAGTAGTACTGTACTTAAGTATACACTTTAGATATACTTAAGTACAGTATTTACGTAAATTGTACATACTTTTTACTTTTCCTGCACTATATCTGAAAAAAGGCATCTGTAGCTTTTACCTCACAATATTTTAAACTAAATTTAAAAGTAAAAGGTTTTTTTAATAGTTTGAGACTTGCTAAAAAGGGTTTACTTTTCACAAGTTCATCATTTGAGCAAACAGACATATACTAAAAAAAATAACAATTCAATTGCTTCTGCTGAACAAAAGTCAGCACAGATCTTTATCAAAATCACAACATTTGAAACTTTATTAGATCTCAAAATCTGTGCAAAATACTTTTACTTTTTACACTTTAAGTACATTTTTAAGCAAGTACTTTAATACTTTTACTTAAGTTTATTTTTTTCATATGATACTTTTACTTTTCCTTGAGTATTTTTTTGCTCAGGTGTGTACTTTTCCTTGAGTAGCTCTTACCAGATGGTGACACAGACGTCGCTGTCATTGGGGCAGATGGAGGTGATGTTACAGTCCACTTTACAGCTGCCTTTGCCCTGACACCGCGTCTGCTGCACATCACAGAACTTACACAGACGCTTGATCTTCAGCATGGTGCCCTCTGCAACAACAAAGATAAAGAGAGGAGGAAGTCAGTGCAGTTTCACAACCGCTTTTGGTGAAATGTGTAACTTTTCAAGTGGAGGGTCAACCAACAGCTTGTCGCCATGAAGAAGTAATTTCTCTGCTTGAATAACATTCAAGCAGAGAAATTAAAAAGTTAAAATTTGATGGTTTAGTTGAGTTTATTTGGCCTTTCTTTACACTTAGTTTACATTACAGGTGAACAAACTAGTAGAAACATACATAGTCCAAAAACTAGGAGGCAGAGGCAACTGCTTATTAGCACCTACACCCAAAGGTTAGATCTGTCTGAGAGGTAACCCACTCACTTTAAGATAGACTGTTTTTCAGAGTGTGAGCTGAAGATATAAATTTTTTAACCTCAACTGTATTTGACTTTTCTCCTTATTCAAAATAACACTGCCTCAGAACTAACCTAAAATGCTGATATGCATTAACGAGCATGTCTACAAAGTTTTCACACTAAATAAACTAGCTCAAAGCATCACAATTTCTCACAACCCACAACACAAAAGCAGTGCTGAGTCAGACTTCCTGATTTGTTAAGAGGTGAGTTTGCACAAGTAGAAAACTCAGTGACACCATATCTTGATTTGAGTTTCTGCTTTAAACAGAAGTGACAGTCGGAGAATTACTATTACACATTTAATCATCAAAGAGTGAGGCACGTGAGAGTACACTCAGACCCAAACCACAGCACCACAGTGTGCTAACGTATGCTCACGCAAACTATAATGTTACTGTAACTGCAACCTGTCACGTCCTGCTGGTGTTCGAGGTTACTGCAGTTTGGTTAGAGCTGTAACCACTGCAATCATGACTACTACAGGAGAGCAAAAGGCTGCATCGTAACCTCATTTAAAACCGTTTGTACCTTCATTTTTGGTGGGAAATGAATGACACTGTAAGAGATTTGTCTTTGTACCTCTTTGAAACTTTTATGCTCTCAGTCAGTGTGGTCTGCACCCGCGTCTGCTACTATTTCTAACAATATTTTCTAAACATACTAATATTTCAAATTTGGTTTTGATACAAAGGAGACTCGATACTCAATACCACTTTAGATAACATAATGGTAATAAAAACACTTTAAGAATGTTATATTCAGCATTAAATCATAGTACTTTCTTTTATATTCAGTTTAGTATCAGATTTATGATACTCCTGGCAACCCAACCCACTACTACCTATAACATATTATTACCTACTATTAGTATCTACGACTAAGTTCTACTATTACAAAATTCATGTCTTCTTTAAAACCTTATCTAAGTATAAATAAGCTTCAATGAGGACTTGGCATAGGCTAAGGCTATTGTAATTTCTTTATCCGGACTTATACACTTGAAATATTTGGACTTAAAAATACTCAGAATACCACAGTGATATTGTTTGATGATAAGCAGACCTTTTGTATTTGTGGTTAGTTCAGAGTTAGCCTTTGTACAAATATTTGCCAAGTGAAGATGTTTCTTATATAATAAAGGCCTATAAGAAATCTGGTCCAAAACCTTACTAGTTACCGTAACTATTCTTACTCTCACCTCTGAGTTGTAGAATAGTTCTGGTCACATGATTTTCTGTTATGGGAAGTGTAAGTGAAAGCAGACAGTGAGAAGTCTGTCTGAGTGTTTGAGTTCACAACCAGACGAGGAAAAGGCAGCGGCCGTGTGCGCTTAACCTCTGCACACCGCCCACAACCCCTCTGCACACCGCCCGCTGCCCGTCCATAACACACAGGGCCCCAGTGTTTGGGTCAGAGGAGCATTACAGTGTTTGGGCCTAGGTCTGTCATCATAAATACTATAAATCGACTTATTGTTCAACAACGGGACAGATGCAACAATTAGGGATGCACCAATCCAGCTTTTTCAATTCTGCTATCAATATTTCGGCTTTAAGAATCCGCCAATACCTGATATTAACCGATACCAATGTAGGGACTAAAATGACACTTATTTCCTTAAAACACAGCAAACTTATTACACATGAGATCCAATAGTGTTATCTAACTGTTACTTATTCTTCAAATGATGACTGAACAGTTTTGTATGAATTAAAGTTCAAACATTTGAGATATTTAAGGCCAAAATCAGCCTGCAAATAGTCTCATTACATCCAAATAAAGGCCCAACCAGGAACCATGGACTGAACCGATATCGTGGAACTGATACCCTATCCAGCCAATTTTTTATCTGATACTAGCATTGGTATTGGTTCATCCCTAGGAACAATCATGTTTGGGAGTCAGTATTTATCGTGGGGACTTTTTCTTTGTACTAACTGATGATTTTAGGTTATTTTTCTGTATTATGAAACGATTTGAGCCGCAGAAGATTGAATTATGAACTTATATGACTCATTACAGCTAGATGCTAACTACTTAACTGTTGCATTCTGTCATTTATTTATTGAAGCTCATATTTTTAACAGTATTGCACATTTAGAATAGTTTTTAGGGATAATTCTGCTTCATGATTTGGTTTCAGTATTATCGGTTATCGTCTATATTTTCATCAGTAACACATCGCACTTCAAAATTTGTTATCGCGACAGGCCTATTTGTTCCAGAGGAGCATGGCGATGTTTTGGTCAGAGGAGGAGGGTGAGGTCGGAGCTGAGGACAGGCACTGGGCACGAGCAGGGAGGGAGAGGAGTCTGCTCTAGAGATTGATTCACTCACAAGTGCAATTTGATTTCTCACAGTTTAAACAAATCGGGATCTAACTGTTTCAAAATCATAAGTTATACATTTTTAATCAAGAGCTCAACTGTCAATCCACCTTCAGTAAAAGCAAGTTTTATATATATATGTACTGTATATTTAAAAGCATTTCTCTTAGTTTTTTTCAGTAAAAACAAACTAAATATAGTAAAAAATGATGATCAAAACATGGAAATCCCTATCATCCAGCTCTTCTGACATCCCCAGAACCCTAATCCGTCAGACATCTCAAATAAGAGCTTCAATCTAATTAACTAGTGATCCTACAAAAACAAAAACACAATGTATACTGTCATGAGTTATAGTATGAATGCATATATCAGCAGTAATACTACTAGTGGGAACATTAGTGACTTAAAATAAAACTTTTCAACTGTGCATACATTTTCCACTCCTTCTTCCAGACAATACAATAACATAGTCTACCATATACTACAAAATACTTGTACCAACTGGAGCATAGTAGACCCACTGTAGTACTCTGTGCACAGTACGACGTAAACATTGCCCAAGTGTCGGTGGGTGTTTGGGGTAAATAAACATTTTGTGGATGGTCTTGAAGTTATGATGAAGGTAGTAAGGCTCCACTGCAGTAATTATATCTCTCATTAAAACAAACTGGTCTCACAGAGCTTGTCATTTGGAGGCAGGGGGCGGGACATGCAGAGGATGAATGGCTGTAATTGTCACTCAGGGCCATGCGTAATTGCAGAGAGGGGAGGCTTGGATTAGGAGCAGCCAAAGCCACTTGGAGCCACTGGGATGGAGTTTTAGACACATTAAGTTGTATAGGAGTCTGCTCTGGGGTACATAGACCTGTCAGGAATGCGCAAGATCGCGGTAATGGCTCTGAAGGAGTAGTACACAGGTTGTATAATGATGCCAGAGCTGTCTAGTTTAAAGATGGATTGTGTAACGTTTTGGTTTTGGGGTCCCTCACCTGCTTGTTTCTATGGATATGCCATTTTAAACAGCTCTTCTTTACATTTATTCAGTTATAGGTGGTTTTATAGCTCTCCACAGATCCGACCTGTCACTTAGTCTGGTTTGCTCACCATGACGATAACAAGATTTAATGCCATACTGTGAAACATTCCAAACAAAGCAATAACATCTCCACGGAGAAAAGCATTTGACGGTCCTCCACCAGAAACGTTGCTCCTTTAAAGATGCGATGTTGAACTTTTATGATTGCCTTTATGGAGGCTGTATTGTTTTTCCTAAAAGGTTCCACAGTATGGCATTAAATTCATCTATTTCTATGGGGACAACTACATTACAGGCCAAATTACAAATCAGATCTGTGGAGAAGCAACCCCACTCAAAGTCAAAATGCATGAGTTTCAAGAAATTTCTGAGCAATAAAACAAATTCAGTTCAATAAACGAAAAATAAATATTAAAAAAATGTATAAAAGCGACATTTCAAACAATACAATAACATCACAAGCAGGTGTCGGACCCTCCATCTGAAAAGTTACACAGTACACCTTTAAATTATACCAGCAAAACTTGTAAGGAGTGAGTAATAAAAGCTACAGGAAGCGAAGTTCACTTCAATATAAGTGATGGCAATGTACCAAATTCCTAACATTTTAAACATTTCTGAATGACTAGGTAATTACTGCTTCAATCTGGGAGCAATGGGCACAGTGTTGTTAAGAATGCGATGCTGGTACTTCGCAAACATTTACAGAAATAGTACAGATTCCTAAACGTGATGTTATTTATGTCTGGGAGATAGAGATAACAGAATAACTGTGGCTAGTACTTGGTATGGTGGCTACTGATAGTAAATCACGTACACTAGTAGTCAAAAGTTGTTGTTTTTTTGTGTGTTTACTACTTTCTACTTTTGATATAAATATAGATGACATCAAAAATATGAAGCAAAAGATATGGAATTATGTAGTAAAGAGTCAAGAGTTAAATACCTGAACTAGACATTTTGTATATTTTTTTAATTCAAACTCACAGCCACCTTTTACTTTGTTGACAGTACTGTAAACCCCTGGCCTTCCCTCAACGAGCTTCTTGATGAATTTACAAGAAATGTTTTTACTTCACTGCGTCATATCAGGGTCAAGAAATGCCAAAAGTGCAAACCAAGGTTCAAACCAAAGGATGGCTATAAAACAAGTTTTGAGTTATTGTTATTGTAAGTTCATTTTTTTCTCTACTACAATCTATATATGCAAATTCATAGTTTTGATGCCTCCAGTGAGAATCAACAATGTAAATAATCATGAAATGAAAGAAGAAACATAGATGGAAAAGTCTGTCCAAACTTTTGACTGGCAGTGTAAGTATAGTAGCAACTTGAACTGCAAATACTAAGTTGCAATGGAAATACGCTATAGTGTTTTGTCCTGTCTGATTAAATATAGTTTTAATACAATTTCAGAAGATTAGAGACCATAATAAAGCTCAAGTAAACTTCTCTTCCTCCAAGTTCTTGAAGATGAAGTTGTTAAGCTAGAGGCTGCTGGCAGAAACTTTGCCTATGGGTTTAAAGTTGCCTATTCTGAAAAAAGAAAATAGTAAATACTCAAATTAAACCTTAACTCAGTGTCGAAACACCTTTTGTAAACCGGACCACGTTAGCTTTGAGAAGGAGACTGTGCGTAGTGGCACGTTTTCCATTGAGTAAGCAGCGTTGCGCATAGTCTACTGTAGCTAATAACGCGCGTGTGAAACTCAGACAAACTTCTCTAACAAGTTGTTGAAAAGCATAAAAACTTGGACTCACCGCTTTGCCCGAACAGAAAACAACTAAAAAGTATCGTCCCGCACCAAAAAGCGGAAAAGCGCAGTAAATCCATGGAGAATCGGGCTGTCCACTCGTTTGTCTCATGAATTTGCCTTGAAGCCCAGACAGCGCTGAATGTCTCGGAACGGTTCGTGCTCCGGTCCTCCGCCTGTTGCTCTAAACGCGCTCTGAGCGGTGGAGTGAACGCGACAGGCTGGACGTGCGTCTGACTCGGGGAAGACGGAGTCTTTAAACAGGAAATCTTCGGAGGGGCTGGCCGTTTCTCTCGTTTTCTTCACTTCTTCTTAGTCATGATCATGTGGCTCCCAAAAGTGTTATTAAGAGCCAGAGCGGGACTTGAAATGACACGCTCCAGAGAAGTTGAAGGAAAATACAGTAGACACAAGCCTCGAGAAAGTTTAAAGTAGGTCTACATGTGGATAAATGCAGCCTACGCAAATGAGAGAGATCTACCTTGAAACATTACGCAAAATATTACGCAAATAAACAAAGCGAAATATAAGGTAATGTCTTAAATATACATAACAGTGCACGTATGTAATAGATAAATACTACTAATACTACTACACTAAACTGCAGAACTCTGATTATACATGCTCTATGTGTCTCTTCCTGTAACTCTGGAGTGTTTACACACTGACAGTGAATCATGACCTCCACATTTGTAGTGAGAGGATCTGTATGAACATGTGATTGTCTGCTCAGGGGTTAAGTACAACACTCACACACTCATGAGTTACAGGTGTATTGCTCAGGGCTTATAGGGCATGTGTTTTCACTTCAGACTAACGCTGATGTCAGAGCGCCCTGGTGACCTCTGACCTCTGCACGTTGTAACACTCCAGGAGGGATGTATTCTGGACCAGTCATATGTTGTGTGTGTGTGTGTGTGTTTTAAAGGGTTGTGAGAAATACAAAGGATAATTTTAAAGGTATTTGAAAGACAATATCGTTTGATCATAATAGGCCAACACGCTTATAATGTATCTGAGATGTCAACAATAAAAGAATATGGTTCAGTGTGACTCACAAATGGAGAAATATTATGTTTTATACAACTTTACTTTATCTGATCGCTCCGTAATGTTCGACTCTATGGCAGTTTAATACCATACGGTGGAACATTATAAGTACAAGTAGATAAAAAGTGAAATGACTAAATAAACTAAATATATATTCTTTTATATTTTAGATTCTGATTCCTAAAACTGGCCACACTTTGCTTTAATGACAGCGCTGCAAACTTTGTATGTAAGCCTTGCTACAGTGTTTATTTTACAATATTTTGGGTAGAATTTGAGTAATAGCTGAATCGTATGCTTTTAAGAAACACATGTACGTAAACCATTAGACACTTCTCTCTGTAATTGTCATGATGAAGTCTCCTGAAATGGTTTTCACTGTGCCAAAGAAAAGAAATGCTAATTGTCATAAGCACTGATCAAAGCAAAGGGTGGCTATTACATTTATGTTGTCTGCCGAGATGCCCATTGTTCTAAATTTGTAAATTAATACATATATGTGCATTGAAAGGTGAATATTATTTAATAAGAATATGTAAAAAAACAACAAAAACAAAAAAAAGCAAAAATCTAAAATAAGTTGAGTTATTTTGAGTTTATTTTTTGTTTATCACATTGTGTTGATCTGTAGTTTTGATGCCTTCAGTGAGAATCCACAATATAAATAATGAAGATAAATGTAAACTGTATCCAAACATTTGATTAGTAGTGTATTGTAAAAGTCGCTGTAAAAATCCACTCATGACTCAACACAATAAAATGATTTGGGATAAAGTAGTTCCCACAATCAGTTTAAATCTGAGCTGAGGCCCATAGGCACGGTGTCCAAATATTGACTCAGTGAGATTCTTGGCCCAGTTTAGCAGAATGAGTCATAAGTCACGTCTATGTCAAAATGAGCCATTGTTTATCACTGAAAAAGTTTATTTAATTAAACTTACCCAAGATGTTTGATTTGCCCAAGTTATTCTCTAAACTTTAATCATGTGGCAAAAACTGAAAAACAACTAAGAGCTCCTACTTTCACCGTGGCATTAAAGGCACTGTTAAAGGGTCCATGTTACACTATTATGTGATCCATGTTATTATGTCGTGTCCTCATCACAAACACACCTGGAGTTGTGTTTTCTTTCATTCACACATGTTTAACTCACAAATCCTGCTTATTTAGGCTGATTTCTTCTCTCAAACTGAAAATGTCATGTTTTAATACAAGAAGTTCTCCCCTGCGTTTTTAGCTGTCAACATCTCTAAAGCTTAAAATGCTCTGTTCCACCTTGTGATGTCATGAAGCGGTAGTTTTCAAGTTACTCTAGAACATGCTCTACCAACACTAGCTCAGTTGGTAGAGTGTTTATCCACTGACCTGAAGGTTGACATAAACATCACTGGTTGATCGGTCAGATCCACTGGCCCACAGATCAATGGTGTCGTGTCCATGATGTAAAGCGATTTGAGTGACTTGAAAAGCGTTATAAAAGAATGTGACCATTTACCAGAGGTGTTACCAAGTCGTCGTTTTGCAAGTCTCAAGTAAGTCTCAAGTCTCTGACCTCAAGTCCGAGTCAAGTCCCAAGTTAAATACATGAGTCCAATTCAAGTCTAGAGTCACTGGCCCATAAGTCCAAGTCAAGTCCAAGTTGTCTACTTTGAGCAGTCATTTCAAGTCTTTAAACCTAAGTACCAAATATAGCTTAGGTTTTTGCAATTTATGACTTTTAATATAAATTTTACTTTAAAAATCATAGTATATTTACATGTGAGTATTTATAGAGTATAAAAGAAACAATTTTTTTTCCTTTTTAAATGTCTTGACAAGATCTTAATTTGAACCATTACAGTCAGAATAGAAAGAATTCAGATTTGAAAGTGCTTTTCAAGTCACAGGCCTCAAGTCTGATTCAAGTCCCAAGTCACTGACCTTCAAGTCCAAGTTGAGTCCCAAGTCTTAGTCCATTTTATCAAGTCAAGTCTCAAGTCCTAAAAATAGTGACTCAAGTCTGACTTGAGTCCAAGTCACAACTCTGCCATTTATTATTTCCCTATAGTTCAGTAGAGATCAGTAATTCCAGAGCTGAAATTATCCAAAAGATTACAGTTAAGGTGTACGGAGTACTTCCTGTATTACCACATGACATCACAATGTGGAACAGAGGAAACAATATTATAACATAGATCAGAAATGTGTAACATAGGAGAGATGTGTAATAAGGGTCCTTTAACATACTGTATGAGTCCTTTAAAATACCCTTGTACTCCTGTTTTCTCAAACCAATACCCAATTTTCACTCATCACTTCCATTAAGATCTTTTTTTTTTTTTGTTGTAATATTCCTAAAAGTCTTCCTCTGCATAAATGAATGAAGATCGTAATTTGTGAGAATGTGTTTTCATTTGTATACAGACACATAAAGAGCCAAGGAAGTATTTATCTACCTCCTACCTACCTACATACTTCCTGCTTGGGGGTGTGTTTTGTAACCTATGACCTTTGTTTGGACGTTTTTACATGTTTTTTCCCCAGTGGAGCAGTGTGTGGTACAGACCAGTGCCCAACCACAAGATGGAGACCCCACAGCGCCAGAGCCCAAAATGTCCCATCCCATCTGACCTCAGCATATGTGGGCAAAAGAACCATCATAACATCCTGCCAAACACCACAACACCAAAACACTTTCCAACTTGTATTTGTTCAACTCAGCCCACACTCTGAGAAATACTGATTTAAGATTTTCTGGAGAAATATTGTTTATATTTGAGGGTTTTAAACTATTTTCTGATCTATGATATACATGCTTCCTCATCACAAACAGACCTGGAGTTGTGCAAAACTTTGGGGGCAGCAGTGCTACTTGGATATACAAAATTTGTGCAGAATTGTCCTTTTGGTGCTCTTCAGTGTAGGGACCAGTCTCAAATAAAAAGTAAATTTTCTGAAGTCACCATCATCTGCTTCAGAAGATGGAAATTTTCTTCTTCTCAATCCTCTCAGTATCATCTTCACTCGCCAGTAGTCTGACAAGTTAGTCATATGTAGGTGTAACTTCAGATTTTTTTCAGAAGCTTTTTTCAGGTCAAGTAAAAGTTTCATAGCATCATGTGGCTGTGTGGGATCTTCATCCTGAAAAGTGTCTGAAACTAGGATGCTCTTCCCTTCTTCATTTGAATAGGAGAAGCAGCCAGTAGCCATTTTATATGAAAGTGATTCCAACATTCACAAAACTGAGCTACTCCAGCAAAGGACGTCCAGGGGTCTCCTTATAACTCTGCAAAACTTTGGGGGCAGGAGTGCTACTTGGATATGCAAAAATTGTGCAGAATTGTCCTTTTGTCCTCAAATACAAAGCAGACTATTACTTTCTACTTTATATCTGGAGTTGTGTTTTGTTTCATTCACACAGGCTGAGTTCATCTCCCAAACAGAAAACACTCTGTTCCACCTTGCGATGTCATGTGGAAATACAGGAAATGCTCCATTGTGCTTTAAACTCCACACACCTTCACTAGAATCGTTTGGATAATTTCAGCCAATCTCCCATCTCTACTGAACTAACCGTAAACGGTAGCTCTTAAGCAACAATTGTACAGCCCTACATCAAATTCAGAGCATATTTGTCATGTTGTTATCACATTTCTCCCGATAGCAGGTCAATGCACACACCTCTTCAATGTGCCAACACTGCATGTTTACAATCTCTTTAGGAGTTTATGGAGTGGTCACTTACAGCTCCCTGTGGCACTACTTTCTCTCTTGGAGCCATGTTTTTCCAGCCTATTGCACAGATGCAGATAAACAGTGCTATTATTATGGAACAGGTGCCCAGTGCTGCTCCGGTCCAGTGAAAGTCAAACAGAGAGACAGGCTCAGGACAACAGTCTGGACAGTGCCTTAGAGGTCCCATATTACACAAACATGACTCTTGTGAATTTAAACCCTGTTAGAATGTAGTTTCCTCAGCCAAAACATACCTGGAGTTGTGTTTTATTTCATTCACACATTTTTAAGTAATGCCACATTATTGGGCTGTTAACATCTCCCAAGCTCCAAGTGTTCTATGTCATGTAGTGGTTTTCAACTTAATAGCTTAATAGCTAATAGTTTACATATTGTTCAGTAGAGACGGGCAATTCTGATAAGGTAAAAAAAAAAAAAGTATAGATCAGAAAAAAGAGTCCACTGATTCAGCCTCATAGAGCATTATTGCCTGGTGTGCACAAAAAAAAAACTGCAGTTATATGGTTGCCTAGAAATCCAAAATGACATCTCTCTGTAGCAGCTGGGACAGCGCTGAGTCCAGAGTTTTCT